ACTTATAAAACCTATTGGTTTATGCAGATGGTTGCTTGCCAATGCAGGCTGGAATTCCCCAAATTTAAGTTGCTCCCTTTTTGTTTTCTATTTAATTGGTTTTAGGCTGTGTTTATATAAATTGAACCTGTCTTTACTTATATTCTGTAGATTGCTTTATATGCCCAAATTGTGTGAGGAAAGTATCTAAAATATGGCTGGAGACTCCAGCCATGTTTAAATATAGTTGGGGACAATTTTGATATTTCGCAGATACAATCATACACAGAATTGGTTGTGGGAAAAATGAGTAGTGATACACAACAATTAAATCACAACCCTTCCAAAATGGAGGAGGGGGTATAAAAGAGTGAAGACTAACAGGGAAGAAGAAATGTGTCTTCATACAGCAATGACTTTCTGTTTCTAGTAAAACTTGAGATCCTACAAATCAAGCACAGTAAAATGCCTAAAATAAATGGCTGACAACTGCAGCTCATCTCCTCGTGGCAGGTGATCATATGCCACCAAAGCACCACAAATAACAAGGCAGTGGAGGCAGATAAAATTCCAAGGGTGGAATTTTTTTTAAATAACTTCTTGTTTTCTGCAACCGTGTAAAGGAATCCTTGAGGAGAAATTCCATATGGCCAATAAAAATGGTTCTGCCTGCCTGTATTGGTTCACTATCTTAACTGAGAATTTGCAGTGTGCTTATAATAAACACACAGAAAGGACAGCACAATGAAAGCTTGAAAAGGAGACAAAATTGGGATAAAATACTACTGTGCACATAATTTAGATCATGGTACCAACTTAGGGCCAAGGTTACCATTCAGCTGGCTGGTTAGTTTGTATTATCTCATGTACTCTGTAATCATTTTTTCCTATGCATTTTAAATAGATATATTGTATTTTGTTGATAAATGGTAGAGTGCAACACCAGTGCTGTGGGAAAACCTTTCATAAACACATTTGAACAACAACAACTTTGCAAGTACATTTAGGATACTTTATCAGTAAAGTTCATTGACAAAAATAGGCACTTGCAACACCCCAATACTTACACCAATAAACAATGCTTGGTCCATGCTCACTGTACATTGCTAAAGGCTCAGTTATATCCACTGTGTGCCATAATAATTTGCACTGATAGGTTTTAATATGTAGAAATACAATTTTTTTAACCTGCTAGCACCATTTCAGAAGACCAGCATGTGGAGCAGCAAGCTTTGGATGCAGGTGCCAAAGCCTCCTTCTTCCTCTTCTGGACATGGTTTCTTTTGCCATTCCAAACCATACCTTCCACAACACTGGACCTTGTAGTGCATGGTGGATAACTATGATGAGGATGAGGCCTTGGCAGCTTCCTTGAAGGCAGAACAATTGGTAACTTTTTTCAGGGAGCTCCCAGCTGGAGATCACAACCTTACCACCATCCTTGAACCCAGAGGGTGAGGCTCCTTCCGTACTTCCATCTCCGCAGCAATGTAGAATTCAAACGTTGCAAAAGAAGGTAAGAGTCCTTGAACAAACCTGCCAGCTACTTCAGATGGTATAGGAGGACTCAACACATTGCCGGTCTTGTCAGCCCACATAAGGCTTCTGATGGTTTTAATTTCCTGCTGAGACAGCATCTTCTTATAGCTACTGTAATAAGGCAGAGCTTCAGCCAGCAGGACTTGCTTGGAGCTGTCCAAGGTCCTGTTTATGTCTGTTCTCTTCATAACATAGCTTTTGACTGAATTGTTCTTGCATTTCTACCTGCACTGATGTGGTCCAAAGGAAAGTAGAGTAATACAATTGGTACCTGCTTGGCTGCAGGATTTGCCAGAAGGAGGTGTACAAGCTGCCATCCAACTGTCTTAGGGACTCCACTCCAGATCTGTGTAGGGTTTACTCCTTAACCTTTTATTCCACTGAGGTTATCCTGCAAGGCAATGGGGCTTTAGGACCAGAGTTTTCCTTCTCCTAGATGGACTACCTTCCCAGGCCGAAAACCCCCCACATGCTCTCCACTTCCCTTTACAGCACATGAAGTGAATGCCTTCTTGACCATTGGACCTACTATTGGTCTTATTTGCTCAATCTGCCGAAGGCTGTCTTCACATACACGGGAAGTCTCTAACTCACCGAGGGCATGAGACCCATCATCGAATGCCCTGTAAAGCTCCAGCACATGAAGAACTCGGTGCACCTTACTGGGTTACCTAAAGAAAGACATTGTTCAAAGTGAGAATTGAATGCACAGCCTCAGTACTGCACCATTCTATATCATAAGTAGTACAAGTATTACATCACTGGAGTTCCTTTTTAAAGTCTTCCCGTGACTACAAATTGCCCTATTTTCATGCATATTTTTTGCCACTTCCCAGCCATATCAGTTTCCTGATGACAAACCAGGCCAGCTTTTAGATGCTGTTAGACCAGGCATAGGCAAACTCAGCCCTCCAGATGTTTTGGGACTACAACTCCCACCATCCCTGACCACTGGTCCTGTTAGCTAGGAATGATGGGAGTTGTAGTCCCAAAACATCTGGAGGGCCGAGTTTGCCTATTCCTGTGTTAGACCAGAACTCCCATCATCAGTGCTTTGCTGTAATTCAAAACATTTGAAGCATCTTGATTGTGGAAAGCTGGTCCAAATAATCCTCAACTCAGTAATTTTGGAAATATAAGTTATCATTTATGTTGAGATAATGGAAAGAGAAGAGTGGAGACTATATGACTCCAACTCCCATTTTGACTCAGCCAGTATATGAATAAAATGCATTATTTCAACTATAAAGCAGCAATGGATTTTATTAAAAATAGTTCTTTGCTTAGCATAATGCATTTTTAAAACACTAATGATTCATAATGGTGTTAAACTCATCAAAAACTCATCAAATTTATTAGACCTTAATATATATATATATATATATATATATATATATATATATATATATGGCTGGGCTAAACAGTTACCTTTATTCTACTTCTATATGCTCCATAATGGTAGGCGAATGATATACTACTTAGGCAATCCAGCAATTGCAGGTTAAGATAATTTGGAGGGTACATTGAGAGGGAGAATTTCCCTCTTAAAGGTCCTAAATCTGTTCTTCCTTTCATCTGACTGCTTCAGCTGTCTATCATCATTCTGAGTTTACATTCTCCTCAGTTTCCCTGAGATATAAAACTCCCCCTTCCCCTTGCAGATTCTTTCCCTGTCACAACGTCCCTTTTCTGAAGATGAAGATGAAGCAGAAAAGAGGGAGGGGAAAGTTCATGACAAAACTCTTCCACCATAGCTTAGCAGTGTGCATTTTTTAATTGACTAATAGTTACGCCAGTTTTCTTCCACTATGCTGGTCTGTAGAGAGAACAGTGTAAGCTCCCGTGTTCCTAATGTAATGTATTATGCATTATAAAAGAGGTTTATAAAATTTCCTATATTCTACAAAGCTACAGTTTCAGTGCACTCTAAAGGCAAAGATACCATCCAGTTTCTTCCATTTATAGAAGCTTCACATAAAAATGAATGGCATCAGCCTGCTGTGAGTTCCTGTGCAGTCAGTCTGTACCAAGAGGATGACCATGTTGACCTCATTTGCCAGTTCACCCTCAAGCACTAGGAAAAGGTACTACCCTGCTGCTTGGAGAATAGCTTAGTAAGTCCTGCCCTCCTCCCTCCAGCCCTCACCCCTGTCGTTCTGCAGTACATGCCGGAGTTTGAACCTGAAGCACTTTTTTTGCCTGAAGAGTATAAGCAGTGGGAGTGCTTTGGTTTGGAAAATTATGTTTTGTTAGAGTTTATGGAGCACTGGTTGGTTTTGTGGGCTGCTGAACATTTCTTGTTGTAAGGAATGTAAACTTTTGCTGAACTCCTGGTGTGTGCTGGCTGCACAGCAAGTACATTAGTCTATCGGTTACAAAAGCAGTGGAGCCGATGTAACAGCAAAATGAAATATCAAGGCAGCTGTGCAGTTGTTCAGTAAAATACATTTCCTTTACCTCCATGGCTACATTTCTTTTTATTTCAGGGGTCTGTTGCCCACCCCCATGTGGTGGGTCATCCCCTGTAAACAATAGGCAGCAGCAGCTTTGTAAACAATGCATCTTGCCAGCCATGACTGTTGCTTGTACAGTACTTCATCTGTTAATGTCAGCAGCTGAGAAACTGGACACTTTTAGAAAGCCTTGACAATAAGAATAAGGTGTTCTCCTCCAATGCATGCTTTGACATAATAGCATCTAATTAAAAAATAATCATAGAGAATAAAATATCCTATTTAAAGGCTTCTTATCAGATACCCTGATGTTTTTTTCTGTTGTTCATTAATCAGCCACTGTGATCTTGGTTGTTTTATTTTTGGCCTATGTTTTGAGCTAAAGGATTTTAACCGTTGTTTAATGCTGCTGCCTTTTATTAATTGTTGATTTGCTGATGCTTTAATAACATTGTGAGCTGCCTTGGTTGAGCTATGTCCTAAATGTGGCATAGAAAGTAATCGTGTGTGTGTGTGTGTGTGTGTGTGTGTGTGTGTGTGTGATGTTGCCTCTTTGATCAGTCTAATCCTTCCCAAAACTGATTTTCCTAGAAATATCTATTGGGATTTTGTTACATGAATTTACGGTGGATTGTTACACCCTACATTTCAGGGTATTAGAGCTACTAGCAGTTTCATGTGCTTGTTGGTTGCAAATTCTAAGGGGCGGGGGAAGCACAGCTTTGAAATCAGTGGTTCAAATCAATGTAGTTATCAATAATAATAATAATAATTTATTATTTATACCCCACCCATCTGGCTGGGCTTCCCCAGCCACTCTGGGCGGCTTCCAAAAAATATATTAAAATACTGTAATACATCAAACATTAAAAGCTTCCCTAAACAAAGGCTCAGCTCACCATCTTGATTCATAACAGCATCCAACTATATCCAAACATAGCCCGAAAACCTGCTCCTTGATGTCAAGAAGCAGCATGCAAACTTTGTTTAAGATAACATAAGAGGTGTCCAAATGCATAGCAAATGTCAGCCTCGATAGCTCAGCTGGTTAAAGTGTGGTGCTAATAATGCCAAGCTTGCAGGATCGATCCCTGTATTGGACAGCTGCATATTCCTGCATTGCAGGGATTTGCACTAGATGAGTCCCTTCCAACTCTACAATTCTATGATTCTATGAACAGACAAATGACTTTAAGACACTGCCTTACCCCTTATACACTCAGTATATTACTGCTGTCCGCAGCAATGTTTTTCCTGCAAGTTCCAATTATTTCAGAAGTCTATTCTGCAGTAACTTGGAGCAGTGCTTTTTGTGTGGTGGCCACTGTTGTGTGGAATAGCATTCCCACTGAGATATGACACTGAGAAGTGTGCGCTACCCACACTTTCTGGCAACAACTGATGACATTTTTGTTCCAGCAGGCTTTCACAGCTGGGCAGATGGGCCTTACTATGAATGCCTATTTTGTATGGTTTTCGTTTTATTTTAAACGCAAGACAATTAACGATGATAATTATAACTTTCCAAAATAAATAACAGATTGGTCCCCTTAAAGCTGAAAGAGTACATACCAAACTCAAGGCTATGGGGATTGATTATACACATATTCTGCACATTTCAATGCCTTGTACATCAAGTTATTAGGGTAAAGGTTAGGTACAAAACAGCAGCAGAGTGTATTGATTCTTTTTCCAGTCATCAGAGGAATACATCAGGTTTCCTTGCTGGCTCATCTTCCCTTTAGTCTATTTTTTGTTCAGCATTGTTAATTTCCTAGAGTTGTTACCTCTTCTCCAGAATTTCAAGGAAGACCATTACCAGCTACTTCAGTCAAATCACATGGGTGAGATGCTTCCAGTGTTATAAGTGAGGGAAAAGGCTCAGTTATTTCTGGTCCAGTTTAGAATGGCTAAAGCACAAATTGCAACTTTGATTTCAAAGTCAGAATTCAGCAGAGCTAATGGAGATACAAACTTATTTGTTCTGTGTCTCTTGTTACAATTGAAGCAGGATTGAAAAATCACACGTATTCAGTGCTTGCACCAGGCGTTTTACTGCCCAAAGCACAACCCAAGTGACCCACCCCCTGAACTTAAGCCAGCATTTTACAAAGTCCTGTTGCACTCATGGTGCTACTTAAAGGAAGTTGCTCCCCACTCCAGTCCATGGCAGAACTGCCCCTGTATTTCTTTGAACACTGTGAGATCAGTACCTCTTGTCTCTCTTAGGAGAAACAGCATTAGTACTAGGCAGGAATTCGGCACATAACCCTAAATCAATTATGTAAGTGCCTTATCAGAAACATAGTATAATGAAGAAGGTCTGGGCACATTTGCTGAATGTTTGTTTTTAAAAAGGAAACTAGGCTAACTAACAACTGAGTTTTTAAAAAGACACCTGGAGCATAGGCACAAGGCAAATCAAGGGACAAAATATCTGCTCTGACTGGTGGTATGCATCTCTCTCATTTTCTCTGAAGAGGTACATGAAACAGACTTACAAGGAGAAGCATGGCGAGCCATGTCTATACACCCTCTGAATTACCGTAACTAATTCTCTGAGAACACACATAGCAGTGTTCCATTACATGATTTTTGAATGACAAAAAGGGAATTGTACTAGGAATAAACATTATACAGAAGATGATCTACTGGTCCCCTATTATAAGACGATGGCTGAAAGAAGTATAAAATGCTGGCATCATTCTCTTTTTTAAAAATATGCTAAACAGTTTCTTCTCAGAAGACTTAAATAATCAATATTTAATTACACACACTATAGCTTATGCAACAAAGGCTATTCCTGTTATACATACATACCTATCCACCTCTGCTGTCACCCTGCCAGTCCCTTAATTCTTCCAATTCATTCCACTCTTCTCTCTCCTTAGACACATCTTAATTTAATTATTGCAGATGATGTAATGTTTTTTGAAGCATAACTTTTCATCACTGTGGGACAAGCATTTGATAGAGTCTGGATTTCTCATGTCGTCCATCAGCCCCTGATAGCTTATCATTAAGTTTCTTTGTAAGGACAAGGAACCCTTTTCAGGCAAATGACTTTGGTCCTCTTCATACTTCATACTTTACATTTTAAAAGGGATACCCTTTATTGTTCAGACCATATATGTAATATGCAAACCTTATAAACATGTGCCTTAAAACAGGCGACCAGAATTCCCAGTCAGCTGTAGCTCCCTGCGGCATGCAACTGGGCTTCTTTTTCTGACATACCTTTGCCATGTAGTGAATGGTAGCTCCTTGAGTATGATGGCAACATACAAGAGTAGATTCCAGGGGAATTGAAGTAGACATGATGGACAATGTCTAGATAGGATCATAGGAGTCTGACACTTAAAAATGGACGACCCACTTCAGAAGTTATCTGATTCTTTACTTGCATGTATCCCTAGGGTCAGTCATGTGGAGCTCCTTGAGAATGCTTGAACTGCCTTTGAGTTCTGTGAGGCACTGAAGTGTGGCACCAATATCACTCTCTGGTATAGCATCAATATTTCTGGAGTTGGGATAGAGACAAAAATTTACCCATTCTGAGTATCCTCTGAATTAAGTCAGTGCCCAGACCCAGAAACTTAATCATAGGCACCATGGAACAGAGATGGTACTGGAAAGATGAGGGAAAGCTCAGGAGAATGCAAATTGGCATGTTCAAATGCAATTCAAGAAGGTCAGAGGAGTCAGACAATATAAGGGCAGGAGGGAATCAAATGAACTGGTTGAGTGGAAGGCTGAAAGGGACCCTGGGAGAATGCAGCAAGGAAACAAAAGAGCCTTGCTGGATCAGGGCAAAAGGCTTATCTATCCAGCATCCTCTTCTCACAATGGCCAACCAAAAGCAGAGGCAGAGGCAGTTTTAGGGCAGTGCAACCAGTTTGGCTGCACTCGGTACTGTGATGCAGCAGGCACCACAACAATGCTGTAGAACGGTGCATAAGAGGTGGGGGGAATTTTAGCATCAGGAAGGGCATTGTTGAAATTTGTTAGCCATTAAATTTTAATTATTGTAGCCCACCTGGGGGCTTGAGGGTTAACATCAGACAATATATTATTGAATAATAACTAATACTAATTCACTGAGCTAGCCACTATGACCACAAGGTCTTGTTCCAAATAAGTCGCCACCAGTTCAAATCCCATTAGCTGTATATGGGTAAACCCCTGCTCAGTGCTATGTCCAGTTCTGTCAAGTGCTAGTCCAGTTCTGTCAAGTGATGGCAGGGGGCCAGGCTGGGGTCCAGTGGATCCTCCTCTCCTCTGGAATGACCATTTTGGGGTCTTTCTGTGGGCTACTGTTCACACTCTGTGGGCAGAGGCTAGTGAAGCATATGCATATCTTACCCACCATAGTGAATCAGGGGTTGCAGATCTAGTGACTAAGTCCTCATTATAACAGTAAAAGACCTATACGGCTATCATTTTAAAAAGGAAAAGAAATTGGCAATAATACTCCAGAAAATTGTTTGCTTAGAACACAACAACAAACTAATAACTTTATATTGTTCTACATTATAAATATGGAATGTATTTGAAAATCAATATGTTTTGGCATACTGTAAAAAATATATATATATATTTCAAAGCATCCACCCTCTTAAGACTGTGAGGATACTAGAGGTTTCAATGCAGCTCTTTGAATGAATATGAGTACAGTGGTACCTCAGGTTAAGAACTTAATTCGTTCTGGAGGTCTGTTCTTAACCTGAGGTACGACTTTAGCTAATGGAGCCTCCCACTGCCGCTGCACCACTGGAGCACGATTTCTGTTCTCATCCTGAAGCCAAGTTCTTAACCCAAGGTACTATTTCTGGGTTAGCAGAGTCTGTAACCTGAAGTATCTGTAACCTGAAACATCTGTAACCCCAGAGGTACCACAGTAGAAACCGTTTTTTTGGGGGGGGGGGTGATACAATGTACCAACAACTTGAAGTGCTAATTGCCTTTTTGCAAAGTTTGTCATTTCCCTCCCTAGTTTGCTTTTTTCCCCAAGAAAACCTGAGTGATACTTGCCTGTTTGCTTTGGATTTGGGAGATCCTGCAAGCGATGAGAAATGGCAGATGGGAAGCTAACTCTGAGTGGTTTAAGAAGCAATAAAACAATTGATTGGTATGCCTAATATTTACAAGACAGGTCTGAAGGAATTGTTTTTGAAGAAATATGTGCCACAAAAAGGAGCATAATTCAAGATTTCTCTTGTCTCTAATGTGTTTTCAGTGATTTATTCCTAGTAGATACATAAGTTTCTGAGTGCATAGCATTATGTGAATCCATACATCTATCAGAAATTCTTTTATACACATCTGAGGAATAAGTATGCATAATTTATGCAGATGTAAACATATTTCACATGAATTGCATTATATCTGACTATTAATACAGCTTGCCTAGTTTATCACAACAAATGCTCTTTACCTGTTCTTCCTAAAACTTGGTATTATAAATTATGATGTGCCATATGCACTCCACTATCAAAGATTAAAATTACCAAGGGAGTCAGCAAGGAGTTCAATGATAATTACGTTTTTCTCCCATCATTGCCTTTCTTGGTTGGATGCTTTTTCATAACGAGGGATAGTATTATTCACTGTTCCTTGCTGTGGTTCCATATATCAGACTGAACATATAATATACCTTTCTCTCCATGAACTTGCCTGAGATTTCAACGAATGTGGTGTGTGGCTTTTTAATTTTTCTGCCAATGCCAGAAAAAAGAAAAAAAAGCCCAGCACTTTTCAGATTCACTTTAGCAGTTGTTTGGCATCCTTACCTTCATCATTTAAAAGATTTATAAGTTACAATCTAGCAGTATATTTCAATAGAAGAAAAGAATAAAGTCTCCCAACATTCATGCAATGGAAATAAATGTTTTGAAAGCTAATTACTACGTATGTAACAAGTTAATTATTTCAAGCTAACAGAAAGCTGAGATAGCAAAGAGCAGTTATAAGGAGTATTCAAATCTTCCTTTTAAAAAGGGTGAGTAACTGATGTGTTAGCCAGCAGGCTGCTAGATGAAAGGAATAATAGCAGTAAGTATGCACTTGGAATACATATGATAAAGACAATGGTCATGATTGTTTT